TGTATCAATCGCATCTCACAGCATAATATTGCCACATTCAGCCAACGTGGGTGGTAACTAAATAGTTTTAGAGAATGTAAACAACATAAAATGCAGCTGTTAAAGGACACTTACTGTAGTTGTACGGCTGGGTATCAATCCGCACTTTTAGATACTGGTGCCAAAACAAGTCTGAAGTTTTAGTACTAATAGCAAAACAATACTTCCTTTGATACTTTGGTCTGAAGAGAGTGTTTTAAAGGAATAGTTTATTGCTTATTGGAAGTTGCTTTTATGCTTTCTAGCTGAGAGTTGCAGGGTCTCCACAACGTCAGTTGTCGTGGTTGCCTGGTAACCTCACTGTGACAACACCATAAGACAACTGGAAGAAATAGTCCTACATACTGTAACCCAACATAAAACTACAACGTGTTTTTCTTACATTTAAGATTTTATACAAATTAAACAAACTAGATACAATGTGTTCATTAGTCAGTTTCACAGGAGCTGGTATGCAGATTTTGGCTAGATGGTTTCCCATTTCCAGATCTTATGCTAAGCTAAGCTAACTGGCTGTTGGCTGTAGCCTTATACTTAACAGTCAGATAAAAGAGTGGTAACAATCTTCTCATCTAATTATCAGCAATACAGCTAATTAGCATAGTTATGAAGAAATTTAAGAAATTGAACTCTTCCTTTAACTCTACATGTGATTTACAAAATATGCCAACTGCAACTAAATGAACGAGTATTAAATATAAAACATCACCTAAATGAAACACAGCATAAAGTCTAAAAAGTTTCCTGTTTTAGATCAGTTTCTGAGGTTCCACCTAAAAGTTATTCTTAGTTCTTCAGACACTGCCTTTAACGTCTCTGTATAATACCACAGTCAAAGTTGTACAAAATAATCAAATGTACCACAAAATTCAACGTTATTTTTGCCAATAGAAGCAACATCTACTTAGAGTACCATGAATCAGATACAGTCACACAGTCTTAACTCAGTGTTCAGTGAGCACTTCGAGGGTTTCTTTGCTAAGCTTTCTGAACACAATGCCACTTCGTCTTCTAGTGTAATTTCACATGGCTTCCAACTTAGACAAGGCCTGTGAATAATGCTGTTGCACTGTTCTCTCTTTCTAAATCTCTCTATACCATCGCACTCCCTCCCACTTTCCTCTCCTCCTGCTTTGCTTCTCTTACTCAACCTTTCTGGAAGTGCCAAAGGCCTAGGGAGCGAGGCACGGCAGCGAGATATTAATAAAAATATGGCTGAGTCCAATGAGATATGACAGTAGTGGTGGGGGTTGTAACAGGGAGGCGTGTGGTTTGGGGGGTTCAGCAGAGGTTTTAAGTCAAACGGGCCCTTTAATGTGGTGTGACTTTGCCCACTTGAGAGGCTGGTGTGAAGTTACAAGATTGGACCCAACTGGGATGAGGCGATGATGGGTCCAACTGCTGGGACGGCCGTGATGAGGGGAGGCACGCTCAACTGGTACCAGAATCCACAGCAGCGGCAGCCCCCTTCCTGAAGTACAAACCAAATCCACACACCGATGGATCACACATTTCCTCCACTATATTATAGATCAATGGCTCCTAAAGTGGGGTCATGAAACTGCCATGGGTCCTTACGGGGATTGCAAAAGGCCGCCTAGTATACAGAGATACTGTTTCATTTCAGATATAGGTAACTCACTGTCTAGACTTAATCAGTTAGAGAACAATTATATATTTCGATAGATATAATAGGTGAATAAAAAAGGGGCCTAAATCACCAAATGTATAAAGATGTTTAAATATAAAGCTAAATAGTGTTTATTTCTATAAATTGAATTCATGCATCTGCAGTCAAATTATTCTTAAATTGGACTTTCAATTGTTTTTAATAATTTTCATCCTGAGAGCCTAAAAAACCCATTACAAGCAACTGACCAAGCAGCCAATGGCAACAAGCTTGGAAGCCACAGTGTTCCTGTGAATGTTTTTTATAAAGAAGTGTGAGGTAAATGAATAATTAGCTTATAGACTGGAGGGAAAGATAGAGCGAAGCAGGAAGAAGAGACAGAGATGGAACACTGAATGCACAACTGCCAGATTTGTTTAGTCCACAAGGGAACAACTTTTGTCAAACCAGGACCAGTCTGTCTAACTATTGCATTACAGTAGAATGCAATATTACAACACTGCTGCATATTGCCAAAAATGTTAGTGCACAATCCCCAGACTGCCTAAAGTCAGACTCACTGAGACTCCTCCCAAAATCAAACCAACACCAGCTTTGACATTTTTCACTTTCCACCACACCAGCACGTCAAGGGCATGAACCCCAACAACGCTACTGCAAAGTAAATAAAACACTAATTTCTTTCTTTAAGAAATCATTGTGTAGTGTCCAATGCAAATAAACAAGATTGTTATAACAGTGGATAATCTGTGTCAAAATACAGTCCAAAATCAAATTGTACTGGAAACAGCTGAGATTATCTAACCCCAACAAGAAAAATGTTCCCTTGTTTAGGCAAATACATTTAAACCCTGAATACGAGGTTAAATGTTGTTAAAAAGGACAATTCTGCATTGCTAAGCCCATTTACCAAACTGTGCACAGCTAGACAAGAAATATAGAAGCTTGACCTCAGCAAAACCCCATCTGAAACATGAAGCCTTCTATAAGCCATAGCCTTATACAATAAGACTTCTGCTGAACCAGACCTCAACCACAAACCCCAACCCTCCAATACTGACCCAGCACTGTCATTCTTTTGTATCTTCCACACACACACACACACGCCACAGCCTTTACACATGTGCATCATGTGCATACACACTGATAATATTCAGCCTATCCATCCACGAGATAAAAAGCTGCTTCTGTGGGAAACAAAAATGGCTGAAATGCAGGTAAACCATCTGCTGCCAACAGTAGACTGCCAACACATGTGTACTTGTCTGTGTGTGTGCGTGAAGTGCACAATAAACAGCGAGTGTGTATGATTACAGATGCAAGGAGAAAGCATGTGAACAGCTTGCCTCTCTGTTCCTGAGGATGGGAGGTGGAAGGTGAAAAGAAAAACAGGAGAAAGTAGAGACAGAGAGGGGAAGAGGCACTCTGGACCTGTGGTTGGGGGGGGGGGTTAAACGGCAGAACATGCTCGCACATTAAGAGCCATCTGATCCGCGGATAACAAGAGAGTCGCAACTCGGCTTGCAAAAAGGCCCCAGAAGAAAGAAAGAGCAAGAAAAATGTCTCTCCTTTGTCTAACCTCCTTCCATTTAAATCCAGCAGTGGCATGGCTGATTCCAAATGACTCCTAATCTCTTCTTTTTTTCTCTTTCCACTCTATTTTTTATTCACTCTCCATATTAATTCATTTTAACCTCTACAGTTGATATGAGCACTCAATTTCTAAGTCCCCACTCATTTGCTCCCTGTCCTATCTTTCTATGTTTCTCTGTTTTTCTGTCATTCACTTTTCGCTCTCCCCTCATGACCAGACCGTCGCACTGCCACAGGCAACACTGACTGAATAAAATGTGGGGGGGTAGGGTAGGCACTTGGGAATTTCTGTTCTCTCTCACTTTTCTTCTTCACTCTTTTCTCCATCTGATATCACTTCATCTAACACACATCTTTCAAGTAAACAATCACTTTAAACAAATCCCTGCAATGGAACAAGGCTGTATTTGTAGAAGTGGTCTGTACGTGTCGGAGAATCAAAAACAATGACAATGCTTTGTTACATTATAGATAACAATTGCTCTATTCCAGATCTTAAACTTGAATATTGTTCACCTCTGTTGTACACATTTGCAGTTGATTGCCCCCTTGTGATAAACTGAGCATTTCATCAGCTGCTAACAAAAATATCCTTGTTCCCAAATGTCTAATATTCAAACACTGACAATTCACAGATCAGCGTGCTCAGAAACCGCATTGTTAATAAAGTCAGATGTACTGCACATATTTCCTCAGAGAAGCACATGGAAAAATTACTGAATCCTACAGCTACAAGATGCATAGCTGTAATCTATCCGTAAGACCACATGGATTTCAGCAGCAGCATAAATTATGGCGCAGTCAAAGAATGGGGTGCTTTAAAAATCCATTATGGAGGTAGACTTATAGGGCAAGCTTGATATCGAAATATTTGCACGCAGCATGTGGTCTGCAGGAATATGTGGTTCTGTGTGTTTTTTGAGAAAAAGAGAGAAAACGTAATTCCCCTTTTTCAGTGAAGCTTGAATGTGAGATTATGTGTGCACATTTCTGACATTATTTCTAAGCAGTGAGGTGAATGCCTGTGACATTTATACTATTACAGGTGTAGCTTCATGAGTAGGACTTGTCAATTATTGTGAAACGCAGCACTGCTGACATTAGACGCAGCAATGTGGGTGGGCTAACACACACATGTGGCAGCATTGGATTAGGAAGTGGTAGGCCACATCATATTACTACCAAGACGTCTCTATATGGCCTCGCCTGTCTCGTGGGAGCCATGAAGCCCTCACACCCAATCCTTCCATCCCCTTTCCCCTCCCTCCCTCCTTCTACCATTTTCTCAGTGTCATTTGCTATTAGCATCACACCCATCAGTGGGTTTCTCTCCCACCAAATCCTATGTTTCTGGCCTCCAGTGGCCGCGTTCCTCTACGATCCAATCTAGAGGGTCAAATGAATGCATGTGGAGCTGCCTTTCATTTCCCTTTGCTTTGCTCTATATTTTTAGTCACAAAGGGGATGTCATTATAGGGTAGAAAAGGGGAACAAGCTGTAGATTAGTGGATGGACCAACAGTAGAGTTGCTGGATAAGGTATGACAAATAAAAGGAGAAGAATGGTGCTTTTGAGTGTGAAATTCTGAGATGCAAGCAAGGAGATGTCTTTATTCTGCATGTAGCCTTGTGTTCATAATACTAAACACCCAACCAAACAGGAAAACACAGAAAGAGCAAAAATAACTTTTTCCCTACGGTCTGCAAATATATTCTGTAGTCTTGGAAATACCAAGTACCTGGCAGTGAAAGATGTACTCTGGTGTGGACTTCTTAAATTTGATGTTCCACACAAGGGCAACACCATCCGGTTCATGAGGAGCATCTTCATTATTGTTATAGGAGGCAACGAGCAACTCAGGATACTAAGAGAGCGAGAGAGAGAGAGAGAGAAAAGGGGAAAGGAGGCAAGAGGGATGTCAATGAAACACACAATACAACAATGATACAGCATAACTGGAACTTCAGACTTCAGATTTGGGAGAAGCATTGTTTTTTCTTCATGCACTGTTTGAATTCAAAGTGACACAAACAAGGCTGCAGGCCTCACCTGAAGGGACCAGTCAAGGCAGGTGATTACACGATGTTTCGACCAGTGTTCATCATAGAAGAGTCTACTGAAAGACAGGCTGGAGCCGCTACCCAAGTCTCTGAAAAAAAGACATGAGTGGTAACGGTCAAAGGTAAGCCTGAAGACAACAGTTTTTTTCCAGTCGCACAACAGGTACTTGCCAAAGTAAATAGGTACCTTCCAAGAAATAAAATGGCTTTGTGTGCAGGGGTTGTTTGTGATCACTGCTAAGGTACCTTCAATCTGGATATTCACAAAGTGTACTAGCCAAAGTAAGTACAGAAGAGGTGGAGAAGCTTTTTAACCTTAAGGCACTGCAGCTAGATAATATTATAACTTATATCAGAAATAAAAAAAACTATATTGAGATTTACTTGGTTACAAAGGTGGTAAACAGGAGATGTCTTTTTGTCTAACAATAAAGACAAACATGCAGTATTTGTTAAAGAAACTCAGTGTTTTAAATTAAATGAGTCGTGACACATCAAGTCGACACTTGGTCGGCGGCCATCAGCTGATTCAGCATATTAACTTGATATTGGAGGAATTTGTGAGTCAGTAAATTTTAGCCAACATGGTGCCTGTGGTCAAACTAGATCCTACGCAGATTGTTGTGTCATTGGCCACTTCAGAAAGTTGCATCAACACAGTTTTCTGACCTTCAGTTGAAGGGAAACTATGTACACTAGTAAGTGTGAATGATCCACAATTCTATGTGAGAATGAACAGTAATAACACATGGTTGTTAAATGTAGGAACTCTGAGAGTTCACGAATAGCATGTCCATGGAAACAAGAAGAGGACTGATGTTAAGCACTGGGCTATGGCCTGTTTTAGACATAATCTCTATTTGACCACAGGCTTGATGCTCCTCTGAGGCTGCAGTGGTCAAAGTTGAAGTGAGCTAGTAAAAGCAGCATTCTTCTATAATAGCAGAGCAGTATACTAAAACAGCTTTGCACTTATGACTTGTATAACTTCAACCAACACTTTGATAACCTCCATTTGGAGGCAACCCTTCAAATGGCAAGACAATGCTCTTTAAGGCATGATGGTTGTCAGTTCACAAGTTTAACCTCTTGAGAGTGTGACATCAGCAGGAAGACATGTATTCTGAAGAACAAAGCAGCTTCCAGGCCCCTAGAGTGACACAGTGGGCATGAGTCAGTCTGAGCACATTTCTTAGTCTGAGGCATGCAAGTAAACACTCACATGTGCTCTCACATCCAAACACATCCTCCCTCCTTCCTGATCCCTGCTCACCCCTCTTTGTCCTCTAGGTCCCGGCCGCTGTAGTCGAAGAAGATGTCGCCGTCTTCAGCCAGAGCTCGCTCCATCACCCGAATGCTGCAGTCGAAGAAGCTCTGAAACTCTGAAGAGTGCAGGATCTGCTGCCTCTCCTCCTCTGTCAGCTCCCGCAGCACCGGAAATGAGCCTGGCGGAAGGGACATAAACATAAGAAGTGCAACCCCAGAAGATAAATATTCATTATTTTAATATTTTCTCAACTATTGTATGTTCTATAAACTGTCAGAAAACAGTGAGTAATGTCCATCAAACTTCCCTAAAGCCCAAGATCAGCAGCACATCATCCAAACTGAGAAGCTGGAAGTAGGGAATGTTTGACCTTTTTGCTTGAAAATTGACTTGGATGATTCATTAATTATCAAAGCATTTTATTTCTGTCAAAGGTTTTATTTTAATCAATAATACCACAAATGGTAATGGACATACATTGCTGCTGTTTGTTCTAGGGAGTTGCAGTTGCAGCTGCAATTTTTTATATTTCATGAAAATACAAAATATTTCATATTTTTAGAATCAAATATGGCCTTAAAAATCGGGTAAATATAAGTAAATCATTTTTTATGTGACCTTCAAAATACAGTTATGTTTTTGTTTTTAAACAGCCGTCAAAAACCATGCTGTCTCTCAATTACTGTTCAACAGCCTCAAACTGAAAAATGTCTATTTATTCTATTCAACTGACATTGTGACATTCTACTTTTGACAATAGTAAAGATATGTTACTGTATCTGACTGTCTGCAGTAAATGTCATGACTACTTCTGCAAAAAAATATAAAGAGTACATCGTGTGCTTCTGATGTCAGATTAACATTCACTTCATCTCTATCAAAACCAGAATCGGGTCCAGGACATAATAAACTACAAACAGGTCTTAATGCATCTTTTCTAATAAAACCCTACAGTAAGAACTTCATAAACAAGAGAAAAACAAAGCCCTCTGAGCGACCCGCCTCCCTTTGAACGTAATGGCTGCACAGCACGACGTCCGGTTTTTGAAGTCACTGTCCCCAAGCACACATGCGATTTTACACACACAAGCGCACACATATATCGACCTTTACCCTGCCTCTTGACTTTGATCCCCCCCATCCCTTTGTATTTCTTACGAGTTGTCAGAAAATACCCAGTGAATCGAGTGGCAGAGATCAAAGGCCAGACCTTCTAATAGGCCAGGATGGAGAGGAGACGGATGACTGTGTGTTTTTGAGTGCGTGTGTGCATACATCTGACTATGTGTGTGTTTGACTCACACGCAGTACAGTCTGGATTGTGTATGCAAATTAATATGAATAATCCATCTGTGTGTGCATCATGTGTTCTTTCTTCTGTATTTTACTACATGATACTACAGGATACTACATTATCCACACACACACGCACACACACTCACTAACTCACTCA